CCTGCGCCGCCGCGGTCGCCCCGCGCGGTCTCTGCGCTCTCTGGGCTCCGCGCGCACCCGGCCCGGGCAGGGGACTTGACCTTCCCCTCTCCGAGCGCTCCTGGCGGGGTCAGTTATGGAGGGGGTGGCGGGGCTCCTGGTGAGCGAGTCAGAGCGTCGGGCGCCCGGAGGGTGCGGGACGGGTGAGAGTCTAGGGACAGAGCTTGGCGAGGCGAGGGCTGAGTCCAGGAGAGGGCGGACCTTTCCGCGGCTTATAGCAGAAGGAGGCCTGTCACATGGTGTGCACGTCAGAGCGCTACTGAGGAAAGGGAAAGGAAGCCTTAGGAAATCAGCCCTGCTCTGGAGAGAAAGTTCACCCGTAGGAGGGAGCAGGATCTGAGAATAGAGGGGAGGCGAGAGGACCCCACCATTCCTTGCCAAAGGGACTGAGTCCTGAAGTGAGCGCTGGCTCGGGATAGTTTGGACCCATCGCCGCTGCAGGAGTTAAGAGTTCCCCGCCTTCTTCTCTTCCATTAGCCCTCAAACTAACTTCAGAAGCACCCCCGCGTGACGCGACGATTTGACCACCGTGGCCTGTAGGAGCCCTCCGGCCGGAAGGTACCCCCTCCCCTGTCATCTGAGGTGGTCGCTCGGAATGGCTCTGAGAGGTCTGTTGGGTTGTCCCTTATCCCCTATATTGGGCGAGTGGCTTCTCATCGAATCTGATGAGAACACCCCCCACCCCAGTTTAAGCACAGTAATTGTTTATTGACCTTTTAACCTGTCCCCTTCGGTTCTTCTCCAAAGACGTTTGTTTTCCACCATCTGTTAATAAAAAATGCTCTTAGGCTGGCGTTTTAGTCACTTATCTGCAACTGAATGCCCTAGAAACTTGACAGCTAAACTAAGCCACTCTAATGAGAGGATCTGAAAATTTTCATGGGAATAAAGAAAGTAATAAGTGAATGCAGAGAATAGAAACATATAGTGAAAAGCCAAATACACACAAGAAATTGCACCTAGGAACTACTCAAAAAATTTCTTTCTCAATGGGTTAAGAGACTCGAGTTATCAGTGAAAGAAACATTCTAATCAACACTTCTCAGTAATCTCAAAATATTTAAATTACTATAATGTATAAACATCTCTACTCAAGCAGGCTTTATAATAGAAACTACAATGATGAATAAAAACTTTCAGATTTTTTTTTTTTGTAAATTAACTATTTTCAATAGCTACTGGTGAAAAGAAACGAAATACTTTTTAAAAAACAAGATTCAAGTTCTGTTCAACTCAATTTTTCTTCTCAGGTGACAAGAGAGTAAGTGGAAATAGTTCAAATACGATTCTATTTTAAGTATACCTAGCTTTGTCACCAACTTCTAATTATTTGGGCTAGCAGAAAAAGTCTAGTAACTTGTGGAATTCACACTCACATAGCCATACCTTTTGGATTGTCGAATTTCCCAAAACACTTTTTTTTCAAAGTGGGAAACTTGCTTCAAATTTTTAGCTTTCTGATTAAAAGGACCGCTTGACAAGAACTGAGAATCAAAACACAAAGGCTTTCTATAGGAACAATCATCAGCTGCTCTTGTGTATATCATTTTTCGACCAAGTACTTTTCACATTTTGAAACGTTTCATTACTTTCCTTATGAATCACAGAGCCTCAAAAACAAACCGCTCCCCATCTAAGAATTCTTTTAAAATCGAGTTTTTGTTGCTGAGCACTGCTACCAACCAGTTATACTTACAAATGACCCATAAAGTCCATCACAGATCTTTGAAAGATCTATGAGAATGTCCTTAAGTTATAAATAAATTATTTTTCATTGACTCTCGTTTGATATATGGCTGAACCATTTAATTACTGTAATGGGTTCGGGATTAACCTGAGCCAACATTAGTCAGCACTATTAATCAGGCATTACATTGCTTTGTTGATGTAGCCAGGAGTCCTCACCAAGGGGTTCACTTTTACATTTGAAAGTTTAAGTTTTATAAGTAATATGCAAATAAACACCATGGTTTTCTCTGGACTGAGGGTTGGTGTGTGGCGAAGTATTTAAAGATGAAACGAAGGGGAAGAATTTGCTGGCCGACAATTAGTTACTTCAGATGATCAGTTACAGCCGTCATTCCTAGGTTAACACCGCCCTGAACTTGTCTGGCCAAGAAGGGCGCGGAGATTGACTTGGCATCTCGTTTGTAACTGTCTGAAGGTCCTTCGCCAAAGGGTTAAAGGGCTCTTCCCTGGAAACGTTTTTGAAAACGTGGCAAATTATCTTCTGGCCATTGAGGAGTAAGTGTTAGGATTTACCGAAGGTCAGAGCAAAAGATCAACAAGAGGACCGCCCCAGCGACAGTGTTAACAGATTTGGGTGAGCTTTACTAAAGCCTCACATTTGGGCGATCTACTTGCTTTGTTTGCTTTAGTTAAGCTACATAGTTGTAAAGGAGTTTTTAGCTCCTCGCTCGTGAAATTCCCCGAGCGCGGAAACCCAAGAGTTTCAGTTCCCGCACATCCCTCTTTCGCCCTCCTCGTCTCCCTCGTCCCCCACCTCCTCCCCGCGCCCCGCCCCCTCTAACGCTCACCCAGCTCCCAGCCGCGGCTGAATAATCGACATTCCCACCCCTTCAAGTCGGTACGAGGGACGGGATACCTTTCCCCGAGGAGGGCGGGGGACCAGACGGCGACCGCCCTCCCGCGCGCGGGGCTCGCGTGGACGCGGGAATTGGCGGGGCGCCTACCGAGGAGACCGCATGGGGAGGGCTGCCCCCTGGCGGCAGCGCGGAGCGGTGCTGGCCCCCGCGCTTGTCCCACGCGGAGCTCGCCAACCAGCGGACGTTGTGCGGGTGTTGCCAGCCGACTCCCAGGCTTCACTCCCACTGAGTTGCGGGTGGCCAGGCCTTTTCTTTTTTGAGGCTCCACCTCTTCTTCCTAAGGGCGACTGGGTGGGCGCAGAGGCGTTTCTTGAACTGCAGGTGGTGGGTGGTTTGGGCACTCCAGAAGCACCCCCTCAGGGGTTACCGGGATTACAACTGCAGGAGCCAAGGTGGCTGAGGGACCTTTGCGAGGCGCTGCCCCAGTCCTTTGCCTTCGGTCCCCGGACCGAGAGCTCCATAAGGTCCAGGGCCTCTTAGGAAGGGCAGAGGCTGGCAGAGACCTGGGAGCGTAGACTTCCGGGACAGAAACCTGGACTCTTCTCTTGACCCGAGCACAGCCCAAGCATTTACCCATGAACGTGAACATGAAGCTGTTTCCAAACTCGGTGGATATTTTGGGTTGCTTCCCTCCACAAGCCTGTATTCAGATACTGCTTTGTGCCTGGCACTCGTTTCTGGAGCAAGAAAACGCGAGTCCCTGGTCCGAGAGTGCTCCCAGTCTTATGGGGGAGCCAGCTTAATAGATAATTATTATGCCCAATGATAAGTGCTTTCTGAGTTCCCCAGCCAAAAGTGAGCGATACCTCGGGGTCCCTGCCTGTCGTTGGCTCCATCATT